CTTCAGTTTTGAGTCATGTCAGTTATCTCCGTTGGCCTGGCTGAGAGCTATCTCTTTGTGTGAATTGTCTACCCGCCAACATCCTACATAAATATTCATGCTCTGTGCTTCTTTACCTCACTCCAAGCCTCAGGACTGGGGTCAGTACTAGTATGCAGGATTCCTGGGAAAACTGTCTCACTGAGTCCTGGGCCTTGGCCAGCCCTCCATGGTTTGGTACCCAAAAGAGTTGTCAGATGCTGAGGCTGAGTGGACCCTCTCTTTATACTTCTGCCCCCTCTTTACACCTTATGGTCCCAGGAAGGCCCTGATGGGGGACTCCAAACCCATCTTTATACCACCACCAATCATGCTGCCAAATCATAGTTAGGGCTTCACCTCTACAGAAACCTACAAGGGAACCCCAAAGCCTATGAAAGGCAAAAGTCCTCATGACTAAGCCCCAGAATATTCCCACATATTCAACTCCAGCAGGGTCACTCCAAAAGACTCTGTGCTCCGCCCACACTGACATTTACAGTGTTCCGAGCACGTTCCCTATTTCTTTCATCTTCCTAATTAAATTGGACTTGAGAGGATTTATTGGACTTTACATTCCGTATCTGTGCCTCGGCTTTCTCATCTGTAAAATGCAGAGAGGAGGAAGAATGGTAACTTCTCGAAAGTTGTAATCAGGATTTTGAGTTCCTGGGCATAATACTCTTGGAAAGATGCATGGATGGTACCTGGTACACTGTGAAGCAGATTAGGTACTATTATTAGCAGAGAATCCTATGGGGACTAAGTTAAATGACTTCTAAAACTAAGCACAGTCTCACAGACCAAAATAATGATAGCTCTTTCTATTCTCATAGACCACGCTAATATGCTCTCTAATTTGGTATTATGGTATTTTATATATGCTTATGTGTCTCCTCAGCATTTTGAACACAGGGATATCAACCAGCCCATCTTACTTTAGATCCTCCAGAGACCTTCCACAATACCGTGGACACACTAGGCCTACACTAAACATTGCTGGATGAGACTTAACCTGAGAATTGGATCAGGCAGCCAAGGGGCACAGCCTTTTGGGGTTCTGTTGGAAGATGCGGTATGAGAGACCAGGCATGTGCTCTTTGCTACTGACTCACTGGAGAGAAATTCTTGTTATCCAAGAAGTTCTGGTGGATACAATGACTTGAATGAAGGCTGCTGAGGGATGACTGTATCCCGTGATCTTGAATGGGGATTTCATAAATCTATGAATCTGGTTTTTTGTTTTTATGTTTGTTTTTTCATTTGTAATTTTGGTACTGGGGATTGAACTCAGGACCTTGCGCTTGCGAGGCAGGTGGCAGAACCACTAAGCTAAATCGCCAGCCCTCTATGAATCCGTTTTAACTGTAGTCAAAATGGCCTTCAGTGTAGTTTTTAACCTACAGAGACTATTCAGAGATTAAATGCAGGTCCTTGTGGATTCTGGGAAGTGTGCTACCACTGAGACACACCCCTGATCGTAGAAAGTTTTCATTCACTCTAGTCTGTGAGGCTTCAAATTAGGGACCCTTGACTGAGACAAAGTTCTTGCTCTCCACAGCTCAGATGGAATGGACTATCCCATCGAACTGTTTCATACAACTGAGGAAAGTCATGGCTATGCTTACAGAATACAAATCTACTAAGTAGAAAGAGCCAGGTAATAGGTGCGTGGTGGTTTTTTGATGTAAAACGTGGGGAACTCCTTAAACAATTCCATATTAAGTGACCAACATGGAAGGGAGACAACAGGCAGATGGAAGAAAGGACTTGGGGACCTCAGTGGCTTATTCATCAATGGGTATAGAGCCAGAGGTGATCCATCATCACACACATGTGCTTGGCGTGGAACGCAGACACTCATTTAGCTCAGTCTGGCTATGAGGGTTGTTTTCTGTCAGAGTGACTAAAAAACATACTACCTCAGGATCAGACACAAAACAGGGCTGTTCACCTAATGACCGTGCAGAGAATTAAGCGGCACTAAAATACTGAGGTAAGCCTGATTCCAGAACAAAGGAGAGACAAGGACCATTAGTGAAGAGTCCCTGTAGCATTTCCTGCTGGCGGATGATTTGGAAAGGACACTCACACAAGAGCATGTTTTATTTGCAGAAGCCACAGTGGTAAATTAAAGCCCAGCCTGGCCCATTCTGGGCTCTCTGGTTTCTCTTGGAGGTGTTCCTATCACTGCCCATAGGCCACTAAAACCTGCCGACACTTGGAATGATTGATTCCACTCAAATAGCAAGCTACAAACTCAAGCTGAAAAACCCACTTCAAATAAGTCATTAGCTTCCTATATGGATTTTCTCAGGTTGCAAGAAATAGGACCTGGGAGTCCAATCTTCTGAAGGGTAGAAAAAAGATATCTGAGGAGGTGATGGGAACTAGGAAAGTCACAGGGAACTGGGTGAGCCCTTCTGCTTTTTGCCAATCAACAAGAGGGATCTACCAAAAATAGTCCCTGCAGCTTTACTGTCAGGGCTAGACAGTCAAAGGAAAGCCAAAAAAGCTCTCAGATTTTTTTACTTCATTCATAAACTAGAAATAAAGTAAAATGAAGAGGCCTGTCCCTGCTCCTCTTCATAAGATGCAGTGCATCAAGTACCTGGGACACAGAAAGTCAAGATCAAGGAAGATGTTTGATGGGATGGTCCAAGCCACCTGAGCTGCCATGGAGACAACTCTGGGCAGATAGGATAATACATCCCTGTGACTGTAGCTGTGGTTGTAGCAGCAGCACACAGACACCAACACAACATGCCCCAGGTTTGCAGCTTGGCAAGTTTTAGTCAGCACCTGACCCCCATTTAGCAATTCTGATGTACCACAGAGCAGACAGCTCTAGCCTGGGATGACTGCCTCCCTCAGCCCCTCTCCGGCAGGCAATGAAAGCAAGATCCACTTTGAAAATTCTCCCCCATCATGCAAACTGACACAGGCATACTTTTCAAAAACCCACAGCCAATCTGTTGATCATTACTTATTTACAAAGGCCTTCGGGCAGAAAGTCCTGTAAAAACCATACTTGATACGGTATACACTAGCTTTTTCTGCTTGTGGAAAAAAAAGTCTCCCCAAGGCTACCGCAAACCATCACTTTCTATTGCACATAAAATGTAGTGTGTAACACTAAAGTATTTAATATATATAGTATAATATATCTACAGGAAAGGCATTTGTGTAGAAGTATGTTACCCTGGATTTGGTAATTTGATGTTTTGCTGAAGGCTACGACTTAAAACAGCCTCCACCTCATACAGGAGACCTGTCATCTCGGTACCCAAGAGCCAACAGAATAAAGAAGTACCCTTAAGCAGCAAAACTTTGACACAGCTTTGAAGCATATGAAAACAGTATAACTCCTCAGAATTATTATTACTCAAGATCAAAGAAATGAGCCATACTTTACATAGCAAACAGGGACAGAGAATTTGGCTCCAAAGGTTTCAGATTTTTCAGACTTCTCTTTATTTATTTATTTACTTCTCTAAATTTAGGCAAAGGAAAGGGCCTGGGCTTTTCTCACCTTTAAATGGAGAAAACTATGAGCATTAGATAAGCCGATTACCTAAAGGTGAGTAAACAGGAAATAAATGCTAGCCTGACAACTGGCATCCTAAAATGAGAAGCTTAGCAGTTGGTACATTTTATTCTTCCTTGTAAACTGTAAACAAGAATGTAAATCAGAAGCACCCAGCAAAGCTGTTCCAGGAGAGGTGAGAACTCCTAAGGAAATACTTAATGGGTAGAAGTTGGTCATAATGGCAAAGGAGAGAGGCCTGGGGAACGGGAGTGCCCCCCATTGAGAGCCTGTGCGCCCCTCCTGAGAGGAAGGATGGCGCTGTCTTGGTCCAGATGTGTGCACGTGGAAAATCAGAGAGACACGACAGTCATGGAGACACGGGCAAAAGAATGAGCAATCGTTGCTGATATACAACTGCGATTGTGTATCAACGATCTGAGGGAAGAAAGGGGCCAATAACAAAGAGGAAACATCAAGGGAGAAGGTATCTCAATGGCAGGGACCGCTTAGGGCAGTGGTGCAAGTCTGAAATCACCTCCGTTTCATGAGTGCTTTACAGAATCGGGAAGTCAGAGGAAATAAGTATTGGGCTTTGTAGATGAATCAGACCCAAAAAGGAAAAGAGAAGAAATGGGCCAAGAGAGGGAACTGCGGAAACCCTGAAATTTTGTTTCACTTGGTACTTCTGAGAAAAAGCCTTGGTTGAGAAAGAAGGGAGGAAGGAAAAGAGAAAAGAGGGAGAGAAGGAAGGGAGGGGAGGGGAGAGACAGAGAAAGCGGGGAGAGGGGAAGAGAGAAAGGGAGAGAGAATAGGAAAGAAAAGGAAGTGGTGAGCAAGCGTGCTGCATTTCATAATTAATATTGCTTTTAGCCTAAGCAGAAGTGAATGACTTTTGAACTTTGCTTTGGCAGCTCCACAGATTATTAGACTTTTTTATCAGTCAAAATCAATTAACAGAAATTTGATTTCAATCGACAGGATAAAAGGAAGGTAATCTTCAGGTTCATTTTTGATTGTGATGATACATCTCACATATGGCCTTAAGTACAGAAAACAGTCCTCGGAGGGGCTCCAGCAGAAAGAGACTTGCCCCAGGCAAACTAACCACAGAGTTCCTCCGATTGGTTCCCAGCGTCATTAGTGCCACTGTTGTTTAGGAACTACACACAGACAGGACATGGTGACAGCTAAGACTTTAAAGCCTATGTATTTTTCAAACAGCTTTTCAAACTGTTTTTCATGACAGAATTTTTTCAGCTCTATCATTAACTGCTGACAAGCTGACAGAATAAATACTCCAGCCTTTAAGAAGCCATCTAACGATCCCGCTCCCCTCCCCCGCCGGTGCTGGCTGGGGAAGGGGGCTCTGGGCCTGGCCTGGGTGGGGAGGGGGCCAGGAGGAGACAAGAAGGAGCCAGAGAGGGACCCAGACCTTGTGCTGGGCCCACCTTACCTCATCAGCTTCGGCGAGGAGTTGGGCGAGTTCCTCATACCCCCGTTGCGTTGCTTTTTTTTTGGTGATAGCGTTGACGGCTGCTCATCTTCAACTGGAAATACAGGCAGCTCATGAGATTAGGAACAATTTGAGGGCAGACTGCGAAATACAGCGAGATATCAAAGGACACACACTCAAGGCTCAGTCACTCACTAGGAATTCAGGGCTGTCTTTTAGGACCCAATGACAAAGACCAAATGCGTTAGTCAGAGAGGTTGGCTTTGAGAAGGCTGAAGCGACAACTCTTATGCTCCAGCCTTTGAACATGCACTTTAAACAGACTAAAAGAGCTTAGAAATGCCCTGCCATAAGAAGAAAACAAAGAAATTATGATTTATCTGCATACAGAAATACGTATGTATGAATGGTCCATCATTATTCTTAGAGTTAATTTTGGTTACTTTGCTTTGTCAGGTAATCGAATGAGTTTTCTTGTAACCGAAATCAGAAATAAACTTGTATTTGACAAAGCTGCATAACTGCCAGCCTGCTGCTTCTCCAGGCGAACTGTCTTAACTAGTTCCCCATCCCTGCGCGCCACAGAGAGGCTTTGAGAGAGGAAGCAAGGATTCGAGACCTTGTGGGCCAGTGTTTCAGTCAGTCAGGATCGAGAGACTTGGCACGGGTTGGTTCAGGCATCCCCACCCAAACTCGGCTCTCTGCCCTCCGTCTGCCAAGAGGGAGGGCAAATGGGGTCCTTGCTTAATTCCGTAAGACAGGAGACAGGGGCTGGTGAGGCTGAAGAGCAAGCTGGAGAGGGGCACCGTGATGGAGGAGGAGGATGCCATTGAGATGGACCTCTGATGATGTGGTGCTGGCAGGGATGGGGGTAGCGGAGAGGATTGGAAACCAAAGGCTGTTTTCCAAATGTCTAAACCACACAGATCGCTAAGCAATGTGAAGCTTCACTCACAAACAACACGGCACACTCTACTGCTTTTGCCCAAAGACACTCACTAATAAGCTTCGTAGATGTATTAGCCTGCGTCATGCTTCCTTTTTTAAGAGAGCTGCTTGATAATTAGCAGATGCATACCCAGCCTGTCACCCAAAGGCATCAGCGGCAAAATTCTAGTCCTACTCTCCCCACCCCCACCATCCAGGCTAAAGCTGTGGTGTCGAGAAGGAAGAATAGGATCCTGGGATTCTCAGAGTTGACTGGGACACACACTAGGAGGAAGCGCCCCTGAAACTCAGAATGCACGAAGGTTACCATAAAGCTAAGAAAAGAAATATTAGCAGTGATGAGATCGAAAGAAGTGTGAGATATATTAATAGTGTCTGAGTCTTAGGTGGAGGAGAAAATGCCATCTCAACTATTTGGTATCATCTCGAGAGACTCATACGTGGGCATGCACTATGTGGTATTCTCCGAAAACCCTAAGTAAGTTTAGTAGGTTATAATACTTGGCTCCGGAGATTCTAATAGTCCAACCGCCCCCCAAACCTGCTTCTGAGTATCTCACTGTTCACACTCCCCTGTTGTACTGTCAGTCTGGGGTTGCCTACTTCTGGCTGACACCGGGAGAGGGAACAAGACTGTGGTGTGAGGTGACGGCAGTAGAAGAAATAAAGGCGTGAATGCACCTGCAGATG